ACCCCCCCCCCCCCCCCCCCTCCCTCTTTCTCTCTCTCCAAATAAAGGGAGTTGGTGAACACAGTGATGCAGCTAGACGTCCTTATCGACTAAATGGGCTTGAAAAGCAACCCATGGTCTAACTGTGGGGGCCGAAGGCTGTTCCTAATGCCTTGTCAAAGTCATGGAATCCATTTATTGAACTAGACCTCAAGTGGGTCTATTCCTAACTGCTATTACAAGAAATCAACAGCATTCCAGACAAGAGCAGGCGGTGTATCCTGGTCCCATACAACCTCTCTCTTTGGCCTTTGGCAGAACCATGTGAAACAATTTCCATGTCTTCAATTGTTTTTCAAATAATTTACAGATAAAGTCGTAAATAATCTCTCTCTTTTTGTTGCCAAATTATTAGATCTTCTAGAGACATGTACATAGGATTTGAGCAGAATTAATTTCAGGCAACTGTAAGATCTGAAGTTGCCCTTTTTCCCCATTCGTCTTCTACCCAACAATACAGAGAGTTTTCAAGACAGAGGTTACATGATGATGCAATAACTAATGATGTATCCGTAAAAAGCAAAATATTTCTTAATAGAAAAGGAGTATAAGTTCATAGTGACACTTTGAACATGTTTTATCCCACACAATACCTGCCACTGGACAGAAGCCTAGGTTATCAAGTTCTCTGACACGTCGTTTGACATTCCAAAAATTCTAATATCTTCACAACATCTCGAAAATCTGCTCACAAAAACATTTCAAGTTAAACTCGTTTTTAGACATGGAAAATGCAGGTGACAGAACATGACAACACAGAGGTCATGCAACTAAGAATAGACAGTCAGACCAGATCCATCTTATAAATTTGGCATTACTGCATAATATAGTCTCAACTTTTCCATTATTTGTGAAATTCAAGTCATGCCCATATGCGCCAATCCATAATATGTGTGAGCATGTAGTAATATAAAGCTTGAGCTTACATTTATTGGCATTTCTGCTATGACAAGACTGCTGGTTTCTTCGACGTGTTTGAGAGTCACTACTTCGCCCCCAACAACCATGTTGATCACAATACCATCTGCAAATGTAATGCAGAATTGTGTAAAAAACAACAATTCCCTCAAATATATCTAGACAATGCATTTGCTTTGAAGAAAAAACCTGCTGCCAAACATGTTGCCATCCGCCTTGTATATGTTTCCTGCATGCAAACACCAGCCATATGAGAAACTAGAGGATGAGGAACATGACATAATCCAGGATATCGGGATCAAAGAAAATAAAAACAAACAACTTCCAAATTTAAGTATTGTGCACTGTGCTTCACATCCCTAAAAGTGGCATGTGCCAAAAAGACTCAAGACCATTAGGTGGAGATGTGAATTGCACTTCTAAAAGAATAGAAGAAATAAGTTGGTTGTCACACATTCTCATGCTTGTTGACTACATCATACTAGGTGAAGATGTGAATTGCACTTCCAAAAGAATAGAAGAAATAAGTTGGTTGCCACACATTCTCATGCTTGTTGACTACATTATCCTCCCCTACATAGAGAAAACTCATCCTCGAGTTTTTTCCTAAAAAAACCTTGGGCCTTCAACCAGTCCAAAGTTTCACACTTAGTTGCTTGAACTTAGGCTTTCGACCTGTCCAAGGTTTCACATAGCACAACAAAGAAGCAGCTTATAGGACTCTCAACAGACCTATTAGGTTTCATGCATCATTGAGCACCTTTGATATACTGCATGAAAGGCAGCACTGCGGTACTTGGTGATTTCTCAAATCTACTGCTCAAAACAGCTCATGAATGTATAACTTAAAAAGATGCTAATTACTATATTAGTAGGAGTTGAAACACTAACCCTCATACATCCATCAAACTGAATCCTACTAGAGCTAGAGACGAAATTCAACATAATCATCTTGTGTCACAGAAGATCAAGCACAGCAAGAGAAGAGACTGTATTTTAGCTATACTTTAGTTTGTAATCACTTCCAGGTTCGAAATGATAAAATAACTGGTAACGAACACCATTGACCGTAGACCCCAAAAGACCTCATCGTAATTGTCATGGTTCTATGCATACCTAAGATTTGGCCTTTAGCTACCTTTGGAGCATTGGACATAGTACATTTGTCAGTATGTATGCTATTTTGGTGTTCCACATACAACTTTATCTCATGGTACATTGGTACTACAAGTTCAACTAAGGGCTTCCAACTTACATAAGAAAAAAATTAATTCCTATTGAGGTAAACCAAGGCCCAAGTAAGGGCCATTGTAGAGGAAGAGCATGGAAACTAGAGAATGGGCCAGACAGGAATTTCTTGTGGAGCCTGGATTTGACCTTGGATTTGACCTTGTGAAATGAAGTTTGGCCAGTGAAATGAAATCTGGTTTCATCACCTTTTACGACTGAAGCTCCTACACTGAAGCCAACTCCTTTTTCCTAACGTTTCCGGCCAAATTCCAGCACCCTGATTAACTACTGAACTACTTTTTTTCCCTCCTCGGCCAAAACCCAAACCCTAACATTTTATTATACCCCTTCAAACCCTTAGAGCCACATTCGGTCCAACCTTGTGGCCATGAAACAAGCCACAATCAGTTACAATGAATCCTAGTTTTCCACTGCCAACTTAATAAAATAATAATCGAACTGCCTATAATTGGTTCAAAGAGAGAATTTTGCTTGTCATTATTGTCTTTTCATTACTTCCTATCTAAGTCTTCCACATAGTGAGGCAGACAATAACAGAAACCCATGAGCATTGTCAGAGTTACTCGACTTGGCAAAACATAATATCAAGTGGAAATTATACTAAGCAAATACTATGCAAATGGAATTGATACTCTAGTTCATGCACATGTAAGTGCTGACGTATAGTATGGTCATTATAAATTTATAATCCACTTGCTGAAGGATAATATATGGCTTCTTTCCAAGAAAGTTTACAAAGTACACCCCTTACCTCCAAAATATGCAATATCCAAACAAATGAAGTGCAGCACATATAAAACCTTCGAAAAGTAGGGATATGTACCTTCTTTGCTGGTAACTCGTAATTTATCAGAACTCGAGCACTAATAGGTGACTCCCCTGAAGCAACAAGTGGAAGGCAAGCATCAGTTACAACTATCATATTGGACTTTTGCTCTTCCTCTACAGTTTCCCTGCCATCTCCAGATTTAACAGTGGCATTTTGGTTCCACTTCACTGTTGCTTGGCGAAATTTATCTAAAGTCACTGCACGTTCTGCGTCAGCAAGGTCACTGTACTGGGAGACGGGCGAAAAAGATGCATGCCACGTTAACAACCATACTACATGAAATCTTCTAATATTACACTGCCAACGATGAGTACACGAGGAAAATATAGTTGGAATCTAGAAAATAAACTGCAACATGAGCATCGAAATCAAAAACTCCAAAAAGGACATCCTTTCCCCAACCACCATCAGCACCAAAAAGAGTTCATATGTTTATATACCAGGAAAACATAAACCACTTCATCCTAAGATGAACAATTCAGTTCATTTGGCGTATCTTTAAGAAAATATAAAGCACTTCATCCTAAGATCGACAACTCAATTTCAAGAACAGGATTATAGCTCAGGAAATGGAACTTCAATCTTAATTATCTACACTTATTGGTAAAAAAAAAAAATCAAGATGGGAATTAATGTTACCATAATCATTAAATCTGCAATATAATTTTTACAAAGTGTTAACCGGTGCATCAGAATAATTACTCCAAAAGATTACGTGCATCCACAGGGCAGCACACAACATAACATCTGGATTACAGAAGTAACTAGTTCCTATGTTAGCTCTAAACAAAGAGATTCAAGAGAGAAAATGCAAGAAGAACACAAAAGTATATAGTGGTTCAGTCTTACGACCTATGTCATACGACCCAAACCCAAAATTGTCCCATCTTTATTATCCACTCTTGATTGTTTGATATAAATTTTCACTTTATGCATGAAGGAATGTGTCATGTGACATAAACCATAATATACGAAATTACTAATGGAAAATCACCCCGTAACATATTATTTATTCATTTTAACCAATTTCATAAATTATTCCATTCGTGAAAATCTTGTTCCTATTGACTTGTCCATTTTTTTCATCAACATACATATAGGAACTCCAATGAACTAGTAACCTATGATAAAAAATGACTAGGTCGGAAACACAAGTTTGAGTCGAGACAGCTTAAATCTCTCTTTATGGGAGTGTGGTTATAGGTGCCCAACACAGTCATGGCACACATTTGGCAAAGGTAATCTGTACTCAATTACAGAAAAAAGCTTTTTTTTTTTGAGCTGCCTGGGAGATGCTTTTATCAAAAGACAGTTAGAGCATGCAAACTTAAGATCTCATGAATCCAAGCCCTAATACGCAGATAGAATCTACCCAGCATGGCCCCAAAAACAAATACTTGCTTGCTTGCTTGCGTTAATCATATGTGGCCTAGTACACAAATGCATGCCCTAATGTGCAAGGCATTTCACTAGCATTGTCAACTATATATAATAGGACATCATCACAGCAAACGTATAACTGAGTACTGTGCCTAGCTATTCAATTTCACAAATATTCTGCATTTTGAAAACAAAAAATTACTGCCACCGAAACCAAAATTAAAGAAAACCCAGTTCAAAATTTGGAGTAATTGCTTCTCAATCCCATTTCCAGAAGCCAAATTGTGTGCTGCCAAATGCATCATAACGTATAAATTACTGGGAAATTTACATGCTAGAATAATTTCTGGACTGCATGCAAAAAATAGTAAATAGAGAAACTAACTCTTCCTTTTCATATAATTAAGAAAACCAAACAATAAAAAATACAATGACTGAGAAAAAGAAATGAAGAAGTACCAAAGAGGCAATAGAAATGTAAGAGAGGTTGGATACGGCGGAGCAGACGGCATCGAGCTCGTCGCGCGTGCTGCAGCACACCACTATCGGCAGGCAGGGTCGGCGGCCAGCCATACCCAATAGATCAACCAATGTCTCCTGTCAATTTCAATTTTCGCCACAAAGGCTATTTAACCAATTAAATTTGGAATTTTCGCGGTAAAAACATTGAAATTCAATAATTATTTAAATCAAAAATTCGAGCTGGTTTTTTTTTTTTTGGGGGGGGGGGGG